GAAGTCCAAACTGTATTGCGCCTACATGATATGTTGGAAATACAGTGTGATTGTAGCTCATCAGGGGGAAATATAAAAATCCTTGCACAAAATTCCCTTCAGCTTGCTACTCGGTATCCGCTACAGCGAAGCAATCTGGAGCGAAAATGAAGAGGTTGAAATAGGATTATGAGAAAATACGGGACAACAGCAAGAGCCCATGTTTCACTACCAACCACTGGCTGGCAATTACATTAGTTCAGAGTTCCTATTAATAGTGTCAGTGAAAACAACAACAATAACAAAAGATGAATGCCAGGTAGTTCTTGGTAGTGGGGAGGGAGTTATCATCAGTTACCTTCTCTACAGGAAGTCTCTAGAAGTGTTTGGGATTCATGTGCTCAAGAGTGTGTAATACCTTCCTTTAAAAGTCCACAATTTTTAAAAGTGTGCACCATTATTCCCATCATACCAACTATCTCTATTATAAAAGCCTGCTTTGCCAACCTGTAATTGTAGGCATAACTGTCTAAACTAGTTAGTTTTAACAGGTCAATAAAGCATTGAACATATTTCAGTCAGACAAGTGAGATTTTGAATAATTTATTAGCAGCAGAATATAGCTATTAAAGTTTGGGATCTACACTTCCTGCAAATAAATTGGGGAAGTCATATAGGCACAGGAGCCTACAGGTGGATACTAGTTGGAGAGGTCTAAACAGCAGGCAGCAGGCTGCCATTTCCCCTTTTTTCCTTGTCTTCCAATGACACTGGAAACCCTCTGAAAAATAACCAGCTCCCTTTCTTAATGACTTGCTTTGCTATCTGCATGATGGATGGTCACCACTTGCTTCCAGGTGACACGATGTCTGTTCCTGTGTCTCTGCAGCCACAGTTGTGCTGACAGGACTGGAGCCCAACACAACATACGAGGTTCGAGTGGCAGCTGTCAACGGAAAGGGCCAGGGCGACTTCAGCCACACGGAAACCTTCCAGACCTTACCCATCCGTAAGTCCGCTTACTTATTCAAATCTGAATCAGTGACGTATGCATATGTGGTCAAAAGTTTACATCCACTGGTCATGGGCATGAGTGGTCAAATTTCCAGCAAGAATTACACCAGAGACTTGTTGATGGCTACAAAAAGCATCTTGTTGAAGTACAACTTGCAAGAAAATTCCCCCAAAAAACAAACGTGTAAAGCACACCCAGTTAGTAAGTTATTAAAGATGTATGCTGTACAATCACTCTACCCTGGAAAAAGAACACTTCAAAGAGGTCATTAAAAGTCCAAATATACCATGACATTCATGCCCATGAGGAGTATATGTACATTTCTGACCACAACGTATGGAATGAAATAATATATTATTAATATATAATAGTTTGATAGCAGTTATACTGGGTTAATTGTTAGCTACTGGCATATATCAGCTGTTAGGATTAGAAAATACAGATGAAATAAAACATCTGTGGAAACTATAGATCATAATAAAGCCACGTGACTGGAATGCAAACATTCTTCAGGAATCTATTCAAGGCACCAGCACCTTAGTGAAATGAAGCCTATTTGCAATCCTCTGCAGCCTTGCCATGTTTCTATCAGAGACGGCTTCCTGCTCCTGTTTCTCTGATATGAATTCAGATTATTTGGGCTTGGAAATAGATCCTGTCAAATTTGTGTCTTGATGTAAAACTGCTGCATTAAAAATTATGCACTGCAGGGGGTTACGGTAAGCATTTTATTTATTCTAGCAATCTGGCACGGCGGGATTGCAGTAAATCCAGGCAAGGCCACAGGAAAAGTGTTTCCATCCTTAATAATATACAGCAGTGCAGCTTCCGAGAATGAATGTTAGAAAGAAGACCCAATTAGCAAAATACAGTGAATAATAAAAACCTGGAGTCAACATTAATTATAGCCAGGCAATGGGAGTTACCTTGTAATATGAATTTAATTCAGCTTTAAACCTTCTTTCTCCTTGTACTGCATCCTTATCTCATATGTCACGTTGCCACCTGCCCCCCTCCTTGGGAATGCACATTCCAACACACACATACTCACACAAAGACATTGTTTTACATCTCAGCCTCTGCCTCATGTCTTCCTCAGGAGAGCCGAGTCCGCCAGCAGTCCATGGGCAGAGGGACATGGGCAGGGCCTACAGGCTGGGGCTGGTCAAGCAGGACGACGGAGGGATGCCCATTGTGGAGTATATAGTCAAGTACAAGACTGTGAGTGATTTATTACAGTTAAACACAGCTGCTGCCTTCAAGTTTCTCATGACAGCCCCACTATATCGAGCCTATATAAGTGGCAAGTCCAGTTTGATACATTAATACCTTCATTAATGTATCCCTGCTCCGGTCACTCCCATCCACATTTAATGCGCAAGGTAAATAAACGCAGGCACATTTAACACAGGTAGAAGGTTCACATTTTGTACTTCCTTGTTTTGTAAAAAAAAAAAAAGGAAAAATCTTTCTTAACCTTTTTTTTGAGAAAGGATGACTGAAATGCTGCTGCAATTTTAAACCTTCATTTACTGGCCTCCATTTGTATTTCTGTATCATTAATCAGCTGGAAGCACAAAGTTTAAATTGTAGTAGGCTGCTTTTAAGGGTGTTTTTCATGTCATGTCAATGCATTTGAAAGTTTTAGTGAGTCATTTCACTGCCTTTTTGTCCTCGTTGTGAAATGGTCACATTAAATCAACGGCACTACTCATTTGTCACTCGTCCATTTTTCCATCCTTAGGTCAGCAGTTTACCTCCCAATTGCTACCTTTCCAGGTAGCAAATTACACATGCTTGTTGCTTTTTGGAGAGAAACCTGAAAGGACACAGTGAAAACTGAAATACAAAGAAAGTACCATTTTATGCCCGCTTAGTGAATTACAGTAGTGCAAAAACTCTTGAGCCACCTCATTTTGCTAGGAAAATGGGGGAAAAGAGTGAAAGGATGTACTGAAATGTGCAAATATATATGGAAATACAGTATATAAGGCAAAAACAGCATTTGTACAATTCTAATGAGTTTGGAAGTGAATATTTGGTGTGACCACCTTTACTCTTCAGCACAGTCTGAACTCTCTTAGGCAGCTTTCTTGTCATGTCTTTAAGTAGTCTTCAGGAATAGTTCTCCAGGCTTCTTGAAGGACATTCAAAGCTCTTCTTTGGATGTTTCTGCCTTTTGTTCTGTTCTCTGTCAACATGATCCCACACTGCTTCAGTAATCTTGAGGTCTGGGCTCTGGGGAGGTCAATCCATGACTGATAGGATTCCACTGTTTGTTTTTCTATGAATGTTATGAATGTTCTAAGATTGAAAAGAAAAGCGACTGGACTTCTTTAAGTTTTTCAAAACTGGATTATAGATGGCAAACAGTTGGTGCTGTAGACCACCCCTCTGTTCAAAGATGGTCGTTCACAGTGAACATGGCTTCTTTTACTCCTCTTTGAAACCATCTGTCTTCTCCGTCCAAAATGTGAACATTGGTATCCTCGAAAGAATGACCTTTGTCCTTTAGATGCCTACGTACAGCTGAGTCTTGTCCTGTCCAGGTGGCCCTCCTATGTTGTGCCATGTATTTATGAAGTGGCTGTTTGGTTTCTCCGATGTAAATGTAAATGTAAAATCATTCCTGGCTGTTGATTTTCGACATGATTTTCAGATACTGTTCATCTTTTTTTTAACAACACCGTGTTGAGATATGACAAGTTTTCAGCTAATAGCTCGTTGGGATCACTTTGTTGTTGCAAAATACTATTTCATGCCTGTCTCACACTGTGTAGTCTTTGGCATTTTCATAGATTCATCTAAAGAAATGGGAACAAATAATGTGTTTTTGTGGCAGGCTGCTAGTAACAAACTGACAACTTAGTTATTTTCTTTTTACTACGTTGTCTGTTATGTGTAGACACTAGTTCATCCTTTGAGTTGGGGGCCTTTTTATGCTTCAGAGTCCAGTAACTTTAATCTGATTTGGCATAGAGAACCTGTAGTGATTGGTAACACTGTTTTCTGCTGCTACACTTTTTAAGTAGATTTCACTTGTTCAATCAATGTATTTTTGTTGTCACTGAGGCTTTTTTAACAATAAACCCATCACAGTTGGCAGATTTTAGAAACTATTTTCAAAATCAAGAAAAATGAGAGCAACAAATTCAGCAGAAGTCAGTGTTTTCTAATAGTTCCAAGTATGTCTTTTTTTTTTGACAGTCATTAGACGGCACACGATACTGGGAATGCCTTTTCCCTCCACTGGAGTGTGTGTGACTCTCTAGTTTGACATGTTGTGACTGAGTTTACTAGATGATGCTTCTTGAGTATTTTTTTTTCAGCCCCTGTTTCACTCACTTGTTCTAAATGGGGGTACACACGTGAGCAAGTAGTTGATATTGTGTGTGCGTGTGCGTGTGTGTGTATGTGTGTGTTAAAATGCAAAAAGCAGCTTAAACTCACAAGATAAGAGGAGCGACTGAGTTGAGGCCAGGAAGCAGAATAGATGGCACTCGCACAAAAACTCTCCACAGGACTAAGTGGATTTAGGCTGGTCCAAATCTCCTATCTCCCCAGTGCTAATGTGTCCAAGCAGGCATTTCTCTGTCTCATTGAGAAAGCGGCAGAGATTTAAAATAATAAAACCATGCTGCTGAAAAGAGGGTCAGGAAGTCTCAATGAGGCTTTTGGAGGCCGAAAAGGATGCCAGTGAAGATGCTTCACACCCCACTAATCTAATGCCCCTGTCTGGCGTCAGGAACACACAAACTGCTTCACTGTGGATGGAACAGAGAGCCTGAAAGCAGACAGCATTTCAGTAGGGATCGCTTTAGGCAGAAGATTCTTATTTTTATCTGCGGGCATTTATAATTGGAGGTATTGACTCTATTCTGCTACCTCACTGACATAAGACATGACATTGCTGACCCTCATGAAGATTCACCCTGAAAATGTGTGTTTTTGAGTCAACATAAAAGAGATCTTTGCTGATATTTTGATTGGAGCCAGACTTTGTTTGTTGTTGTGTTTTGATAAATCCAAACTTGAAATTTTAGGAATGTCGTTGTCAAAATGTACAGAGTAGATCAGGGGAGAGGTACTAGAGTGCGTATCTATACCGATCTGTAGAACACGGTGGAGGCTCTGTCATGTTCAGGATCTGCTCTCTCAGTTTATGAGGTGGCCATAGAACAGGTTCTCCTAGTTTGAAAGTTAGTGGTTTGCGCTTTGCTTGCTCCAGCCTCCAGTCTGCATGCCTTGCAGAAAATACTGAACCCTCCAATGCGTTCATGGTCGAGTGAATGTGTGTGAAAGTTAGATAGAAGGCACTTAGGTATTACAAAAAGTAACTGTGTGAATGAGTGTTAATTTGTGAATGAGGCATGTTGTATAAAAGCTTTTGAGTGTTTAAGTAGAGTACAAAAGCACTATATAAGAGCTAGTCTATTTATCAATTCTGCCAGTGGTTTGGGAATCTTATCGAAATAGATGGAGTTGCGAAAGCAGAAAAGTACAGGGATAGAAGTGGGTTGCAAAGCAGCTTGTAGATTTAGTTGCAAAGTAGCTTAAATGGCAAGCCCTACAGTAGAAGGGACCCGATCCATTGGTTGATGTGAGTTGGCATGGAGATCAGCTGATCTGCTGGGATTGCTACACTCAGTTTTTGCACAGACTCGTTAGTCAGGATTTTACAATTCAGATGAAATGTTACATATTTTTAAGTCCTGCACCTTGACTTTTGTAAAATCCCGTTTTTAATGGTTCTCAAACTCAGGGAGGAAAAAATTGCCAAGGAGGTGAGACTAATAAGCACACAGTACAGTTAGCATGCTTTCAGCGCCACGCTCTCAGACTGACTCTTCAGTTTCCAGTGCTTTGTTTGCAGTTGGTTTCTTTATGAAGGCTCAGGAAGGAGTAGAGACAAAAGGCTGAGGCCACAAAGAGAACTGTGTGATACCGATGACAGGCTCAGGATTACTGTTTCTTTATACCTATTCAAACACATCTGTGGGGGCGTTTCACAACCGAGCCTGATTGTAGTAACTCTCAAAACTCCCAGATTAAAAACACAAAGGGTAAATTGCTGTTTATCAAATACAACAACACTTTCGCTGATCGCCTTTGATTCAAAGTGAAACATAGAGCTTTGATTAAAACCAGGTAATAAGGGTGTCTTTTGATACTCTTTATCTTTCTATCCCTCTCTTACCCCTCCCTCCGCCAGGATAAAGAGGAACAGTGGATGACCAAGCTCGTTCCAGGTGCGAAGGACCATGCCTTGCTGCACCCGCTCCAGTGGAACACGAGATATGAAGTGGAAATCACAGCGCGCAACGTGAAAGGCCTGTCGGAGCCCACCTTCTATCAGTTCTTCATGCCACAGAAACCTGACATTACAGGTAAAAGCATGATAGAGGAAAACTTCAGCTTGTAATTTGCCCTTTTTTAACATTTCCACTTTCTCATAGATGCCTTTTTGAGTTGCTCTTAAATGCCTTTTGAAAGTCCCCAAAGAACACTTTTGAACTTGTTGTGTTAAGTGGTGGGTCAGTCGTGCCACTAGAAGGAGCGCTGACGATAACAAAAGCAGGAGAGCAAGATGTTCCAGTCAAGATAAAGCGAGCCTGAAAACGCAGCAGGCCTTGTTGCCGCTTTGCTTTCTGGACAAATGATGCTGCTGTCATCTCAGAAATAGTGCCCTGGCCTCTCCGGCAACAGATTTCTCTCTGTATGATTGTCGAATGGGGTTTAAATCCCACAGAGAAACACTTTACTCCGAAGTTTTTTAAAGGCGCGTTGAAAAGCTGAGAATTTTTCCTCTGTGAAAAGCCAAAACGTCCTTAGTTTGACAGCCGATTGTCTACATTTGGCCAGTTTTTTGAAGGCATAAGAAAAAGTGAGCAAACAAAACAACTAACTGGAGAGTTTGGAGAACAGATATTAAGTGTTAGAGCAATACTCCACAAAGTGAAAGAAGCTGTAAAGGATGAACTATTCAAACTAGTAATCTCTAACAGGATCATGCTCCCAAAATATATTGTACTCGGATAGCGATTTCCATTATCAGGATCACGTTTTCAAACGATTAAGGGAAGAGTGTTTTGTTTTTTTACAGGAAGCTTGAGCAGCAGCCTTGACTTCAGTGCATTAGTGCAGTCCCCTTTAAAACTGCTTCAGGGCTTGTGCACACCAGTGCTTAGTCGAGACCACAGGTTTTCAAGCTGAGAGACAAGAAGCACACAGTTGCATGAGGTGAAAGGGACAGGTGGATGTCGGTGTCCCAAAAACAGAAAGACTATAAATGTGGCCCATTTAGCGACACAGTCAGCAGTTCACGTGTTCACAGTGATCGCTGGGACAGCATTGGACAGTATCTTTTCTATACAAATGCTGTTGAAATAATAATGAAGTAGTTTGCTTATAGTATTCCTTTTGAGTCTTTATAGATGAAAATAAGAAAAAGATGTCTTTGACTTTGTTTTCACGATGCTTTGCCTTGGAGTAACCCATCTGCTTCTGTCTGCCTACCTGAGGCTAGTGCTACATACGCTGAATGATGGGGAAAAGAGAGTTGTTTTCTGCCTGTGAAACTTGAGCCATGCTGCTAAAAACATGGTAATATGATGGAGCAGTAAAAGTGGATGAAACTTGGATGTGGAAAGCACCTGTTGTTAAATTCGTTTCAACTTAGGTTTGTTTAGAAAGCACCAATTAGGAGCAGAGTTGCCTCAAGGGGCTTTATATTCTAGGGTAAAGACACTAGAATATTAGAAAGGCAGCACAAAAGACACATAGACAATATAGGAAAAAGCCAGAGTTTCATAATTACTAATGATTAAAATGATTAATGGTGTATAAACCAATGGAGAGTGAGAAGAAGTGAGTGAAGAAGTGTTCAGTGCAGCATGGGAAGCTCAAAGCAGCCTAGGCTTAATGCAGCATAACTAAGGAGAGGTTCAGGATCATATGATCCAACGCTAACTATAAGCTTTATTAAAAAAGGAAAGTTTTAAGCCTAATCTTAGAGTAGAGATGTCTGTCTCCCAAATCCATAATGGGAGCTGGTTCCACAGGAGAGAGGCCTGAAAGTTGAAGCCTCCCATTATACTTTTAGAAACTCTAGAAGCCGAGATGAAAAACATATGATCTGTCTTTCTAGTCTCTGTCAGTAGTCTCACTTCAACATTTGGATCAACTGAAAGCTGTTCTGGGAGCTTTCAGAGCCACCTGATAATAATGAATTACAGTAGTCAAATCTAACTTTTCTTTTTTAGGATCTAATCTCAGAAAATGAACAACAATAATTCTGCTTAGAAATCATTGGAAAGAAGTCCAGAACATGTCAGTCTCATGTGTTTGGACATTCTATTCAAATGTCCCTGGATAAAATGCAAGCGGGAACTAAGGGAAAATTTAACATATTTAATGTTGTTCCAATTACTGGCCAAAAAAAGAACCTAAAATGTAAGGGATGTAAATATTTCCCAACATTATAAACTGAGCGGTGGTTATAAAGCAAATGGCCAAAACAAAATTTCTTGTAATGATGGCATATCAAAAAATAACATCTGGAGAATAGTCAGCGATCTAACTGTAGATTTTAGCCACTCATCATGCAAAAAATGCCAAGTATTTTCTGCTTTAAGATTTGTCACCGTAAAGAATGTGCCTTGTATTATTGTATTTGCCCTTTTGGCATTTGGCCAAACATGTCAAGATGCTAATATTGTTGCCTTTTGTTTTTATCAGAATTATATTTTTTGACTGTTCTTATTTATGCTTTCACCTCAAGGTTCTTGTAAATGTATCACCGTTCTCCTGTTCAGGTACTCTGACTGTCGGCATCCTTGCTAGGGCTTCATTCTCGTCTGCTCTAATAAACAGCACAAGTATTACAATCACACCACGGTTCGCTTCAAAGAAACCCAGCAGAGCACGAGTGAAAATACCCTCAGGCTGTACTTTTCTTCTCTAAAATATCATTCTTTTCTTCTTGTTTTTTCTCGCTGTTTATCTTATGGTCCTCCTGTGGTGCTGCTTTGCAATTCTGCTGAAATTCATTGAGAATGGAGCGCAGATGGAACGTCTCTAGTCGAGCTCGCTTCTCATTTGAAAGAGCGACATGCACACGGTTACATAAGCCAATATACAGACACAGATAACTTCTTCAGCTCTTGGTCTTGGGTATTCTTATGTTGAGACTGCGCTGTTCTGCTGCATAACAGTGTATGTGCTTGTTTCTCTCCTGATAGTTTGACTTGAGCCTTCTTGTTTTTTTGTTCGGGGAGGGCAAAAAAAGCTAGAAAATTCTAAAGACAAAGATGGTTACAGCTACTGCAGCATCTTCTGTGTAGTATTCATTTAGATTTGGCTTTTTTCTTTTTGTTTGTTCTAGGTTTATCTTTAGAAATAAATAATTATCTTTTGATTGGAAAATTGTTATGATTTACTGCTAGTGTTGACTAGCAAATTGAGCTAGCTTCTATGACTGTGACTGTTTCTTAATTGTGATACTATTATTGTATGATACACACTATGCAAGTACACTATGTAGAGTACTTGTATAACATGTGAATTTAGTGAGAGTAGTGCTGTCTTAAACTGAACACAGCAAAATGCTCACTCGAAGTAACAGCTGCAATTTTGACCAACTATTTTGCTAGCTGTAGTATGTTTTTAACATATGCAACTTAACCCTTTAAGACCTACCATAGAACCAAGTCCGCCAGAGCTTATATTATATTTTTACATGTTGTGGAGCCATTTTTTGGAGCATTTCAAGTTGCTATACATCAATACAACCATTATAGCCCAAATTTTAATAATGTCTGCACTAAGTGCATAGTAATTACATACATTGCAAAAAAGCGCAATAAACTACAAAAAAATTTAAAATCGGTTTTGTTTTTTTAACATATATTTCTAGTTAGAGAAATTTAAGAGGGGTATCCCTCAAAACTGTAAATACAAAAAAGTTGCACAAAATAGTTTCCCACCACATGAAATTAATTTTAAGTGTCTTCACAGTTTTATTTTTGAAATACACCAATTTTTATATACTGCAGGAAAAACTAAAATAAATATTATAATGCAAATTTGCAATAAAACAGCATATGCATCAAAATAAACTATTTCCAGTAGTGCAACATGAGTTCTAAGCATCCCAGAAACGACACAAAGTCATAAAGTCAAACATAACTTTTAAAAACACCAGTATAGGCTCATAAGGCCCTGATGGTAAAAAAACTACATTTCTGCAAAATGACGTCACTTCTGGTTTCGGGCAGGACATGGAGGACATGCAATAGTTCGAGCTGCTGGACGTAGGAAGTGTTACAAACAGCTGATCACATCGGCAAAGCGTGTTTCTGGAATATTATGTTTTTGTTGGTGCAAGTGCTTTTTATGCAGTTTTTGCAAAGCCATATGTGGAAGCCGAGGCGGAGGCAGACATTTGATACACCCGGGGCTTAGCCCTAAAGGGTAGTATGCATGGACACCTTAAACTAGTTTTTTAATTAAGCAGCAAGGCAGAACAAAGTCAGGGCTGTATCAAGACACGAGGACTAAACCCCAATTCAACCA